TTTAATTATTTTTAGTTCAGTGTTATTTTTATTCGCGGATGTGGTTGTGTGGAATTATTTGAGGATCAAAAGAAATTATAATATTAATATATAGTGATAAAATGTGATAATTAGTAGTAATGTTAATATTGCTATTAATTATTATTATTATTACTAATATTAATATATATGAGTAAAATATAATTATTGGATTTTTGGAAATTAAAAGGAATAAGATTATTATTTATGGAATTAAGAAAAATGTGGAGAATATTATTATTGGAAATTATTTGGAATGAAATAAATAAGAGCTGTATATTTGGGATTAAGGGCAAAGTTGGAAAATGGAAAGAGAAATAGTGGAAGGAAGAACGCGTGAAGAGGAAGAACGCGGAAAGGGAAGAGCACGATCAAAGTGAGCAAGCAAGTGTAAAAAGGAGCTGAGTCGTGAGATTTTCGTGTGAATTTGTGAAGGTTCATCATCATCAAACTACAATTGAGGTAAGGGGGGGATTGATCGGTTGAATGGGTATTTACATGAATAATTGGTAGGAAGGGGAAATCGCTAACCCCATGAATGAAGATGTTTGCATGTTGATGATGAATTGCATGATGAGTTGATGTTAATGTATGTATTAATTCTGTTTTACATCGTCGATATTTGTGTTGAACTATTGCATGCTGAATTTGATGGTTAATTGATGAATTGGGGGTTTCAGAGTTGAATGTAGTTCTGAGTCGAGAGTGAATTGATCGGCTAGAGTCGGTGTTTCATCCGGTGAATTGGATACTAATTGGGTAAAAAAAATTGTAGAATATTGAGCTAGTGAGGCTGGTGTGATATTTGGTGAGAATTGATGTGGTGGAGCTGCTGCTGTTTCTGAACAACAGGGTTTATTTTTCTGAATACGTAGGTATTCGCTGGGCGAATGAGGGGGCGAGCCTTCGCCGGGAGAACTGGGCAGCGAATGCTGCTAGTAGCCTCTGTTTGGTTTCGCCAGGAGTTTCGCCGGGCGAGTGGTCAGCGAGTGTTCGCTGCGGGGCTTCGCCAGGCGAATGCGCTAGCAAGCCCGACAGCAGTTTGTGTTTTGGCTGCTGTTATGTGCTGATTTCTTTGTGGATTTGGAATCTTGTTGATCATGTTTTGCTGATGAGCCTAGTAGTGAGCTGTGGAGAGTGTATGTAAGGTGTCAGAACGTGATTATGTGATATCCGTGTGACTATGATATTGCATCGGTATATGTTATGATGTATGTCTGTGGTGATGGGTGAGGCATATTCGAAATGTGATAAATTTTGATCAGTTGGATCGTCGCGCATTGAGTGCGTTATGGTGATGTGTTGTGATGATTGGATCTGTAGGATCGATACGTTTGATATGTGTTGTGTTTGTATGTTGTTGTGATGAGTGGATCCGTAGGATCGATACGCCTTAAGTGCGTTGTGTTTGTGTGTTGTTTGTTGGATTGAATCAGTAGGATCGATATGCCTTATGTGCATGGTGTGTGATATGTTGTGTGGTGATTGGATCAGTAGGATCGATGCACTTTGTGTGCTTGTGTGTATATGCATTATATGATGCGATGGATCAGTAGGATCGTGTGCACTGTGTGTGCTGTGTGGTTATGCATAGTGTCTTACATAGCATGTGGACATGGTGAATCATGGCTCGGTGGAGTGTATGTGATTCACACACGTGCTCCAAGTGGGAAGCGTGGACGTGAGGTATGATTGACTCACGTGCTCCAAGTGGGGAGCGTGGACGGGATTTAGATCGTTGCTCGGATGGAGTGTATGCGACCACCCGTGTTCCAAGTGGGGAACGTTGGTAGGGATAGATCGTTGCTCAGATGGAGTGTATGCGATCTATCCTGAGATTTGATTATATGGGCTCAGGAGGAGCGTGGTAGGGATAGATCATTGCTCAGATGAAGTGTATGCGATCTATCCTGAGTTGAGTCAGTACCGCATATTGTTGAGTCGAGTGCATGTGTTGCATTACTGTTTGTGTGTGTTGTGATTGTTGATGATGGGACAGTAGGTCCAGATTAGTTGTATATGAAATAATGATTTATTATTTCTGCCTTTTATTTCATGTACATTTATACTGCTAATATTTGATCGTGATTTCTCACCCCTCTGTTGTTGTTGTGGTTTGTGCTTCTTCGGAAGTACAGACAATCCAGGTGTTTAGCTAGTTTGGATTGTGGCGTCGTCATAGGATTGCTCTGATACGTAACACCGGGGCTTTTTAGGAGTTTTATTGTTTCTTGTTGATTATGTGTGCCCCCATGGCGTATCTAATTGTTGTGGGATATGTGATGACATTATGTATATTTTGGGCAGATGGCCGATTGTTCTATATGACGATGTTGATGATATGGATGATGTATATATGATATGTGTTATGACAGACTACATCTTTTTCCGCTGCAATTTTGCTGAATATTATTTTGGAAAAATGATTTGTGGAATTTCGTTGGAAATTGTGACATCCCATTGTGGGAAAACTCTGATATTTGTTTATTTTAAGTGCTTTATTTTATTTTGGGAAAACGGGGTGTTACATTGGTGCGGTACTGAAGCTGATCTTATTTTGCATTTTGGAAGATTTGGTTTTATTAGTGAAGATTCTTTGAAGATTTGATTCCAATATGTTAGAGTCCAAGAAGCGTGTGTTTTTAGAAACTCAAAGTTCGATTCCAGTTGTGCAATATTTCCTAAAAATGGTTGATATATTATTTAAAGAAACATGAGATTTGATTTGATTTGTTTTTGCAGAAGATTTGATTTGGATCTCAACTTTAGAAAATAATATATTATAGATTTGCATATCATAATATATTATTTTCTAGAATACTATGGAATATAATAATATATTATTTTTCAGAATATTATGGATTTGCTATTTAATTTAGCCTGATTTCCTCATCAAGTCCGTATTTTTAAAAGGCTATTTATAAGAAGAATCAAAACCTAAAGAAGTAGGAGAGCCGTATTTTTGTGAGAGTTTTTTTAGGGCTTTGTTTGTTCATTGTTATTTGTGATCCACTCTTATATCACCTTGATATATGAGTTGATTTGTGTTCTTGTTCATTTGTGAGTCATTCGTGTACCTCTTAGGTACTTGAATTGTGTTTGAGTTGTAATCACTCATAAGATTTTAAGTAAGAGTGAATTTTTGTGTCTTTGGAAGTGTGTCTTCTATTGTTCTTTAGAAATAACACAGGTAGTGATTAGGTAAGAAGATTGTAAACCGGAGGTTGTTTATTTAGGATTCAAATTAATACAATTATAGTGAATTTCCTTCTTGCCTTGGTAGCCCCTTGATGTAAGTGACGTTGCACCGAACTGGATTAACAACTTCCTGATGTTATTTGCTTCCTACAATTTTATTTAAATTGTTGATTGTTAATTCTGCTATAATTTCAATTTTCAAATTGGTGTTCTTAATGTGATCAATACTAATATTGAATATGTAATATTAAGCAAAAGATCATCGAAGAAGTACCACCGGTTACATATTTACTGTTGGTACTACAACCGTTAGTTGGATATCGAGGATACAAAAGATCGTTGCTCTATCCACTATAGAGGCTGAGTATGTAGCAGTAATAAAAGCTAGTAAAGAGTTGATATGGCTTCAAGGATTATTGACAGAGTTGGGGTTCATCCAAGAGAGGAGTGTTTTGCACATCGATAGTCAGAGTGTAATACATCTGGCTAAGAATTTAGCATTCCACTCTAGAACGAAACACATTGATCTCTGTTATCACTTTATCAGAACTCTGCTTGAGGATGAGATACTAACGTTGAGGAAGATTCTCGGAAGTAAGAACCCAGTTGACATGTTGACAAAGGTGGTGACTATTGATAAACTGAAGTTATGCTCAACTTCAGTTGGCCTGCTAGAATAACATACCAGAGAAGGCTGCTGCATGATCGAGGTGTGAAGACCGGCTGAAGTCAATCTTCAAGTGGGAGATTGTTGAAAAAGTCTTTGTTTTATATTATTTTGATGATCATTATTTTCTTATTATTTAGAAGTAAGATGTTTCTATTTTATAGGAACCGTAATTAATGGATTACGGATGATGCATCCAATGCTTTGGCTATATATAAGATGTCAAAGCCAAAACAATATTCATTCCAACATTTAGAGCATTTTCAATAGTTAAAGAAATACACCAGTGAGAGAAATTCTTAAATACAATGTGTATTTTATCTTTCTATTAAATAAAAAGTCTTAGCAGCCTTTATAAATTGTGTGTGTTATTATTCCGCATTTATATCGTTATTCCACAAATCTGACTATAAGGAAATGTGCTAAATTTCCTAACAGGTGATAGGGGTCTCATATCTAGGAGTGTCTTATTTAGAAATAACACGGGTTGTGATTAGGTAAGAAGATTGTAAACTGGAGGTTGTTTACTTAGGCTTTAAATTAATACAATTATAGTGAATTTCATTCCTACCTTGTTAGCCCTCAGATGTAGGTGATGTTGCACCGAAGTGGATTAACAACTTCCTTGTGTTATTTACTTCCTACAATTTTATTTAAATTGTTGATGGTTAATTCTACTATAATTTCAATTTTCAAATTGGTGTTGTTATTGTGAACAATACTAATATTGAATATGTAATATTAAGCAATGAAGGAAAAAATCACGAAGGTAGATTCTTTTAACAAATAGAATATTATTTCATTGTTAAGAAGTTATAACCTTTAAGTTTGGATGACCTATTATGCTTCACATATGGAAGCCATTGAAGAGTGGTAAGAAAGCTTAAAGAGAAGAGGAAGAAGATAAAGTACAATGAAATCTTCTCTTATTGATTGAATGAGTATTACATCAACTATGTAGTTGGAGGAAAGCTAACAAACTTCATAACAGAATGTAACTAACTCTATAACTAACGGTTGCTTATGTCATCTATTATGACCAATATATTCTCACAACTGTATGTCTATTAGTATATTTATTAATAATGAAAAAGTATTAACATAAATCTCTGAAAATTTAATTAATAGGTTCAAGTATTAACTCCTTTATTCGATTCTTTGATATAGTATTAGGAGCTCTATGTCCATCTCCATATTGATACGTGCAGTGAGAAATTCTAGCAAGGTTGGTTAAAGTTTCTAGAAAATATTTTGAGAAAGCTGAATATGTAATTTGATCTTTGTTCATCTTCTTCCAAGTTTCATTAAGCAAGTTGTGAATGTATTTGTGAGCAATCATCTCACTAACACCATTTTCCTTCATGTAGCACATAATTGAATTACATGTTTCGCCTCTTTGTAACTCCGCCTACAAAATTATATGACAATATAAGTGTACTTCTAGTTATGCTATGGTTTAAAATGTAAGGCGGAAATTACCAATGAAGTAGCCAAATCATTGCAAAGTCGAAAAATAATGGATGGTCTCTGTAGTAACAAATGGCAATTTTCCAAGTACTCAAGACCTTCCTTTGTTATGCTATGGTTTAGTAGAAAATAGGAGTGAGTGAGTAGAACAACACCAGACACAGACACCCATGCGTTGTTAAGGTAATCATCAAATTTTGGTATGTGTTTATTATTACACCACTTTGCTTCTTGGAGAAATGCTTTCAACAAATCAGACCACTGTAATTAATATAATTTAACAACAAACACCAAATCAAATTATTCTTCTTCTTGTACAAATAATAAACTTTCTATTAATTTTTTAATTTATATTACCGCTTTGACGAGGTAGCGAAGGATGTCATGTCCTTTTTCTTTAAGTGCGTCGTATGCTAATTCATTGACAGTGTTATAGAGTGCTAAGAAAAATATCTTCATGTATTCCGGAAGAGTTTTAACTGCATTAATATCCCAACTGAAGCAAACATCATCTTTTATTAGTAGTAGTTTTTTTTCTTCATAAAATTGTCCAAAACAGGTAACAAAATTTAGAAAGAGAATTTGAGATTAGTTTTATATTTTCTCACTCTAGATTACTTGGACTAATTTAATGAAAACAATACCTTTCTATTGCGGTTGTGAAAAGCTCTAATTCATCCAAAGTTCCATAAATATCATATATGTCATCGATTAAAGTAATTAGATAGCCAACTTTAGTTAAACCTTTGCGAAGATTGCTGAATTTGGGCCCCAATGGCGCCATTCCAATAGCCCAAAAAAAGCATTCCATTAATCTATCACGATTAAAACTTATCTTTGGTGCTAGTCCCATCCCCTTCCACCACCTTCGTTAATGTATAAAATGTATATATTGTAATTAAAATAATTAAGAATTATATATATATATATATATATATATATATATATATATATATATATATATATATATATATATATATATATATATATATATATATATATATATATATATATATATATATATATATATATATATATATATATATATATATATATATATATATAATGGACGTAGAATAATAAAAGATATACAAATATGATGTTGTTTTTGTATAATTACCTTAACATTTCTTTAAGTTCTAGCTGAATATTTGATTGCTCGATGTTGAAATCCAACTTGGCAAATTCAAGCAACACTTTATTTGCATTCTTTCTTTTTCCGTATGAGTTAATATACCATCGGGCTTCAAGTCTTTGAATTCTACGATATATTGGAAGTTCCAATGAATGATTCACTTGTTCAAAGAGAAAATCACTTATATTATCATGAAGTCTTCGTCTCATGTGAAAACTCGTGAAGGAATTTGCTTCATCCAAAATTATTTCTCCTTCATAAGACATAAACGATGCCTCGTAAAGACTTAACATTCCTTTAATATCTTTCACAAGACGCGCTTTAAAATTTCCATCGTGGTCCTTAAACTTCTCAAAAATATCTATTAAAAGCAAAAATCTCAAATGTCAATGTTAATAGTGATCAGTCAAGCTAACTAACTAATGAAAATGAAATGACATATTTTGATATATTTAATATATCCATTAATAAAAGAATATAGTGAAAATATTAATAATGCAGGTATATATGTTGCACCTGGAGAAACATGATATCCATATTCTCGAAGGAGTTTGAATTTTAACGCAGTTTTATGCAGATTTTCTTCAATAACTATATCACCATGCATTTCCAAAGACAAAAACCTATCAAGTGCTTCTATGATCTCTTTTTCAAAGTGGTAGCTAAGGCCTAAGCGTTTCACATTTTCTAATAATTCTAAAATTTCTACATTTTCATCATTAATCATTCTTCTTACTTCCTCTTTCAACCTTCTGCTCCTATTTACGTAGTGGGCACCCTAAAAAAATCCAAAATAATTTAGCAATATAATTTTGAATAGAAAAAATGAAAAAAAAATTCTCTAAATCTGTGACTATATTATTACCGCATAATCGTGTTTTAAGGATAATAAACTATCATAATTCCAAATATTGGGCTGGTAGTTGGCAGATTTTCTTTGAGAAATATTTGAATTAGTAGCATAACATGGAAAGAGAGAAGCATTTGAAGTAGGAAGATTAGTTGTTGGCAGTTGAGGTTTGAAGAAACTAGGAAGTGAAACAAATGATGAACTTAGCAACATTGTATGAATTTTGGCTGCCAATATTTTGTATTATTTTATGTTGGGGGAGTGCTCACATTTATATAGATATCGTGTAAGTTTTTTGTGTGGAGCTGATACGTTTATTAAATCGATCCACCAGAGCCACGAACTAACACCAACCTCCTTTAATTCTGTGCATTCCAAACTACATATACCAACACCCTTATTTATAGTGTCGGTCAACTTACTATTATATTTTTAACTGCAATTAGGGCTGGAAATGAGTCGAGTCGAGTCGAACTCACCTCAGCTCGGCTCGACTCGTTAAGAATTGTTCGAATTCGAGTTCGAGTTCGAGTTTGACACGAACTTTTTTTTAAGCTCAAACTCGACTCGTTATAAGTTCACGAACAGTTCGGTTCGACTCGTTAGGTTCATCTCATTAGGTTCAGCTCACATGGTTCACGAACTTAAAAACTATTTTTTTAAATATATATATATATATATATATATATATATATATATATATATATATATATATATATATATATATATATATATATATATATATATATATATATATATATATATATATATATATATATATATATATATATATATATATATATATATATATATATATATATATATATATATATATATATATATATATATATATATATATATATATATATATATATATATATATATATATATATATATATATATATATATATATATATATATATATATATATATATATTTTACTATATTTGACATTTTAAATAAATAAATATATTTTAAATAAAATATTAAAATAAAATAAAAGTTATCATATTGAAATTTAACTTTATCTTCGAAATCTACTAATTCAAAACCTACACAACTTTCAAGAGATACATTTGAGAGTCTAATTCAAAAACTACTAAATTGAAGATTAAATTTGTCTAAGATTTGAAGTAAATATTTAAACCTAATCTTAAAGACAGTATAATTCTTTTCATATGTAATCGAGTTGACTCATGAACCTAACGAGTCAAACTATGTATAGTTCAAGTTCAGCTCATTTAGTTAACGAACTTAATTTTTCGCTCATACTCAACTCATTTGGTTCATGAACCTAGTTCAACGATTTAATTGTCGAGTCGAATTCCGAACTATCTTCGAGTTGGTTTGGTTCATTGCCAGCCCTAACTGCAATCCACAACAGTAATTGTAACTGCAATAATATTGAAAAACAGTTACTTTTATTCAATCTCTGAAACTTGTGTTACTAACTTTTAAAAATAGTGTAATTTAAAATCCTGTAATAACATTATTGCAACTATCACTATGTCATGTGCAACTCCAAAACCTTGTTATTCTATTGAGGTTGCTGATAATGAAAAGAGAAGAAAGAAAGTATTTGTTAGTTAATGTAGAGAAATTCATAGTTTTTGAAAAACATTCGTTATTCACTTATGATTTTTTTTTACAAAACAAAAATGCAACATTGTATAAGCACAATGTGGAATGTTGAAATATAAATAGAATAACAAAATATTCATAACATGTAAACACTAAATATAATGGTAATGTTGAGCAATATTGTCAAAGACAATAAAAGAAAGACAAAAAAAAAAAAATATTAGCAGTTACATTCATTGTTGCCATTGAATGATTGTGTAGCATAAATTTCCATAATGTACAAAATGAAATAACCGGTAAAGAATAACATATATATTAGACGACAAATATGCATACATTTTACCATGAATAAATATTAAAACAAAACAACGTGTACTTAAATACCTAGTAAATGTTGTGGAAAATTTCCTTAAAGACAACATTAGTGGTTGTATGCATATTCTGTTTATCTTTGTCATGAATCAAAATCTTAAGACCTTACTTAGTCTTAACTCTAGAAAGTGTCACATACAATTGACCATAACTAAAAACATCTTTTGATAAGTATAAACCAACGTTGTCTAAAGATTGAACTTGTGATTTGTTAATTGTCATAGCAAAAGAAACAATAAATAGAAGTTGTCTTCTAACCAATTTAAAAGGCCATGGTGACTGTGAATGGGACAAAGACATTCTTGAAATATAAATGAGGTTACCAATATTCTTTCCAGAAATGATCTTAGGTTCAATGACATGGTTAGCAAGCCCTGTTACAGTGAGTCTGGTACCATTGCTTAGACCTTCAGATTGATCCAAATTGCGCAACAACATAATTATGCTCCCAATTTTCAACTTGATTGAATGATTAGGCAATCGTGATGTTTTAAGAGCAATCAAGAATTCAGGTGTCAAGTGTTCAAATGCATCGAAGTCAGTTGCTCCAGATCTATCAACAGAATCGCTACTAAAGTTTTTTTTTTTCATCTCCTAAAAATTCAAAAAAATAATGTATTTGAGTATAATGATAAGAATGAATACATTATAGAATTAAATACATTAAGAAAGTATTAGTAGTACCTGGAAGAATATTTGTGATGTATTGATTGATATCATCTACCACTTCAATAGTTGAAGACAAAATTGCACGACTTTGAAGGTAATTGGAGTCATTGTAGTTATCAATTAGATCAAGGTAGGTACTTTCAACAATAGCCTTAATTGGATCTGAAAAATTAGAAATGAGAAACTCTTATGGAATGGAAATTTCAACATAACCATCATTTGGTTCACACATTCTCTCATCTCCAATTTTTAAGATCCACTCAAAAAAATTTTGAATCTCATCAGCAGAAGATGTCATTGTTCCACTTTGCAAATCCATGTTCTTTATAAGTTTGAGAACCTTGCAATGATCCTCAATATAAGAAGCATTGATGGTTGCGTGAATAATATTTGATCTTGTACTTCTTGGTATAACTAGAAGAATTTGTTTGAAATCACCACCAAAAATAACAACCTTTCCTCCAAAAAAATTCTCCGACACTTTTAAGTTTTTACTCATAATATCCTTCAAAGATTTGTCAAGAGCCTCAAAGCAAAATTTGTTAGCCATATGAGCCTCATCCCAAATGATTAGATCAGTCAATTTTAAAAGGTCAGCAAGTTCATCCTTTTTGTCAATGTTGCAAATGGATGTTTCTAAAGTAATGACTGGAATCTTGAATTTAGAATGAGTTGTTCTTCCATCAGGTAACAACAAACTTGCAGTCCCACTTGAGGCAACAGAAAACACAATTTTTCTTTTAGCACGAAGTGCAACTGACAAAGTGTTCCACATAAATGTTTTACCTGTTCCACCATAACCATATAAGAAAAAGACACCCCCCTTTTTGTTGTTCTACAGCTTCCATTATTTTTTTCAAAAATCTTTCTTTGGTCATCTACATATAACATGATAAAAAAAATAAGGTTAGTAAGATCAACATGAACATTATATCATTATATGAAATAAATGGACTTGGATGTTACTTGTAAGAGATGTGTGTAAATTTAAAGTACAATTTTTGTTGAATAACAGGATCATATTGTCTCTCATCGTGAATAAACCTATTTCCAAGAAAGGAAATAACAAAATCCTTTGGATATGGCATAGGCTTGTAGTCCTTCAAACTTTTCTTGTTTTTTTGTAATTGTGTCTTAATAGCCATAAGTGTAATTTGTTGTATTTCTTCATCCGTAAGTGTCAATCCTACGTACGGAAAAATTGTAAATTTAAAATACCTAATATTAAAGCAAAGAAATAGATAATAGTATTACATGAAACAAAATGTGTACCTGGACTTTTTGTTAACACACGCTGTTCATATAGAATACCATCAGATAAATACAACCATGAATTATTCCAAACATATTCAGATCGATTCATGGATGATGATAACAACATAGTAACAAATAACTTCCGTAAAAAAAACACCTGAACCCCAAACATGTGCCTCTTTAATTGCCTTAATAATTTCTCTATCATCTTGTAAGAATCCCATAGCAAAACATGCTTCTCTAAAAGTTTCATGTTGTAGGTCATCAACAAATTTGATATCTTTGTAACATAATGGCTCTTTCTTGAAAGTCAATATCATCCTCAAATAAAATAATTCACATGTTCTTTGAGGAACCCAAATAAGACGACCAATGGTATACCCTATTTTTCTAGGTTTCCAACTCCTATTTGGTTTATGGTAAACAAACTTAGAGACAAAGTCACCATATGTTAACTGTAATACCCCAAATTTTGCCCTAAGATTAGTCGTTTCATCTTGCATCCCATTTCAATTTGCATTGCATTTAAACTAACCACTAACGGTTTGTGCAGTTGTTTGATTGTTGCAGAAAAATATCATGTGGCGCACTCTTTTAGTTTACAGGGTTTCTAGTGCCACTTTATTTTGTAAGAATAAAATAGCACAATTGGCAAGAGACCCTGTGTAAGGAGTTGTGAGTGTGAGAGGTTGAGAGTTCGAATATCACATTCTTCACTTTTTGTTTTGTTTCTTTTATTTTTATTCTAACTTTTCTATTTTCATAAAAAATAACAAAAATAGTTTTTTTTATTATTTAATTATTATTTTCGTATTTTGTTTAAATTATTTTTTAAAAAATATTATTTTTTCAATTTTTTTCATATTATTCATAAAAAACATCCAAAAATCATAAAATTAAAAATATTAGAAAAGATTTTATTCTTTTAAGTTTGTTTTAGTTTGTTTTTTTAGCTTTGACTAATTATTTAAGTTGGGCTTTAAAGTGGGCATTAGGTTAGAGTTAACCCTAATTTGTTACCTATATAAACATGAGTTGCATTTGATAAAAGAAGGAGACAAAAAGAAAAAACAGCGGCCGCTCTCACGATTTATCAGAAAAGGGAAGATAGCTTCATCATCGCCAGAGGACGAGCATCAATACCACAATCAAATTTCATCAGCGCCAATCGGTCGAAAGATTGTCCTTAAATTCCGATTAATATTTATTCAGTTTATTTTGTTCCATGGATGTAATTTACGCGAGGTCATGGTCGCGGTTTATTTTATTTTGCATTTTTGGGGGATTTGTAATTTACGCGAGTGATCATCGCGACGCTTTCTTTACCGTTTTATTTA